CTACCCCTGGCTGAGCACGATCTGGGAGAGAGGCTGCAGCTGCTTCTGCTGCGCCTCATAGTCACTCAAATGAAAAAAGGCAGAGGGTTGAATATAGATTCTTCTTTTGATGCTGCTGATGTTGTAAGAGCGCGACACCGGGTGTGCGGTGCCACAGGAGGTGTGAACATTTGGAATAATGGTTTTGTTGTGGGTGACTGTGTGGAAAAGGATGGATGCATAGAATGTGTATTTCTAAGGAGGATAGAGGTGCATTTTATGCATTTGTAACAGTCAAGGTTGTGTTATTAGACATGTTTTTGAAGCTTTTCTGCAAATGCAATAAAGTGTACTGGAGGTTGTTTTTTTTTTAATCCCCTTGAAAAAAAGATGGTTTCAAAACAGAAAATTGTGTAAAAATGAAAAGGGGGCAATAAACAGAGGGCTTGTATCGCAAACTTGCTTTCATATGTTTTTTGCTACAAGTGAAGTAATACTCATGTATCGTTTCTACATTCCTACATCATCTGACACTTCACACAAAATACATCACCATCAGACTGAATAAACCTAAAAGCCACAATGAGTCCAGATGAACACAGGACAAAAAGATTATACCGAGGACAGAATTGGACCAGAGAGATGAGACAGTGACAAAAATGGAGTAAACGAATCCAAGAAAAGTGCAGTTAAATAAAGCTAACCATCAGAGGGCAGCAAAAAGTGCTTCACTTTCATTATGCTGTATAAAGAATATGGATACGTTAACATTACAGTCAAATTGGTTGCCTCTGCACAGTCTAATATTTACTTAAATACTACACGGCAGACGGATCACAGATCAGCTGTGATCTGTTTCACCATTACCACTAACACTATCTCATGTTGAGTCATTTTTTTCTGATAAAATGTGAGAATAGTTGTGAGGAGATTACTTCTGCTGATTTGTTTTGTATTTCAGCACTGCTGACATTCTCTTTAGGCTTCTACAGAATGTCTTATCCCCCCCCCAAAACAAGTACTCTGGTTTCAATACCAATTGCACAATACAGCTGTTAAATATAAAAGTACACACTGTATGTCCCTTCAAAAAGTATTTTTGTCGAACTTTGGGTAGAACTTATTTTTCTTTGCTTCGTCTCATCTATTTTTATGGTGCCACACTAAACCCTCCAGCATAAAACCATAACGGATCCCTATCTGTCTTTCCAAATTGAAAATTGATATGTCCTAAAATTATTGATATCTTTTACCATGTGCTAACATTTTTCTAGGATGGTGGTGGAGGACTGAAATCAGAATAAGGAAAAATGTCTGGATCTGGTGTGGTTTTTGTGTGTAATTAAATGTGTGTGTCTCATGCAGGTGTGTTTGTTTTGTACACGTGCAGATTGTGAGTGATACGCTTCTTTCTGATGTGTGTCACTGTGCACCATAATTACATCTGCCCTTACTATGTGTGTGCATACATGTTTAAACAACTCGTGTGTGTGTGTGTGTGTGTGTGTGTGTGTGTGTGTGTGTGTGTGTGTGTGTGTGTGTGTGTGTGTGTGTGTGTGTGTGTGTGTGTGTGTGTGTGTGTGTGTGTGTGTGTGTGTGTGTGTGTGTGTGTGTGCGCACACGTCTTTCATGCTTGTAGTGTATGAGTACCCGCCTGCTTTCAATATAGCCTCATATTAGGTGGTGATTATCCTGCCTGTATCTGGCTTCTTTCAGCCTTTGACTGGAAGCTGGAGAGGCCAGGGGCACCCTGGTAAGAAAGGAGTGAAAACTTCCTGAACCCAGCTTCACCCCACACCCCTTTACATCTGTAACCGCCCCTCTACACACACAGACACACAACAAAACATATCTAGCATAGCCACAAAATACAAAGTTGAGAAGAACTTTTTTGACACTAATTCTCAGCTTGTCCATTCTGCGATACAAAACAGTTCCTTTCCCCCTGCCCTGCTCCTTCTATACTGTAAAGGCACCACTTGCACACCACCATTAAAAAAAAATAACAAAAGAAAGCTGAAGGTAAAGAAAAGGGAAAAGGTAACAGACAGGGATAAAACAGTGTGGCAAAATCTTGACGGCCTGGCTGGGGACTTTGTAAGACCCCATACATCAGCTGTCACCCGAAGTGCTTCCAAAGAGCCACAACAGAGAAACACAATAGACTGGACAGATGGTCCCAAACAAACTGCAGTGGGTTTGATGCTATTAAAAGCTGTTTAGCACATGCCAGACGCCAGCAAGTGTAGTGGATGCATTGTGTGATCATTTCAGAATGACTGAATGTGTGTATATGTGTGTTTGCCTAAAAGCTTCTGGTGTTACATTAAACACGTTGGTGTGTATATTTAGCCAACAAATGCTTTAATAAGATGTGTGTGAATGCGTTTGTAGTTGTCTCATAATTAAGATACAATCAAAGACAACACATGATGGTGAAATACAAACAGTGCAATGATTGATTTGGGCAGTGTAGATGCCAGCCAACCCTGTAGGCCGTGACGAACTTTTGGCTGATGACCAATAACCAGACAAATATAAAACAGCCCCCCCCCCCCCCCTTGCTCCCCCAGTGATCCTATCATCTGCTTTCCTAAAGAGCGTATCTGACACCTCAGAATGATGAACTCCTTCAATGCACTGACCTTTCTCCTTCGGACTAGTCACCCGCCCTCCTGCCCTCACCCATGTAGATGAGACAGAGACAGATGAAGATATTTTGCAATGTGTGTGCATGTTTGAGTGTCAGTGGGAATGGTGGGCGGGGGTGTCATGCAGTGACACAGTGAAATTAGTTTTGGTGGATGGTGGCCGACCCACCTTCAGATCAGCAGTCAACCAGGGAGATTAATCCAGACACTGGAGGCCTGCTGGAGAGCAGACATGACAGGCTGTGAGTGAGAGGAGAGAGACAGGCAGGTAGACAGACAGATGGGGCGGATAGGTTCATGACTATGATATACATGCTGAGATTGTGTCCATATATCTGTATGTGTAACTTTTCAGGTTTAACATACAGATTGTTGAACTCCTGGGGACATGAATAATGTAAAGACCAAATTTTTCTCACTATGGCCTGTATAAAAAGGACCAAATTAAGTATGAACTCTGAATCATTAATCCATCTATGTAGGTGTTGTTGTTCTAGTCCACGATTCCCTACTTGAAGTTGTGAAGGGGGGCAAGGCTTAATAAAAAGGACTTCCAGGTAAACACAGGGCTAATAAGGATTCAACACCAAATGTCACAACTACTAAAACAAAAGAAAAGAAGATTTGACGAGCCATATCGTGCCCCCGGCTACACCTGTGAAATGATGGATAATAAAAAGAGCCACATCCTACCTGTGTTTCTAAAGTTGCCTCAATCAACTCACAATACAGATCAGAGCTGGACTTTGAAAATTGAAGTAAGAATTGAAGTCAGCTGCACCCCAGACTTGAGAAGATCTGTAGCACAAAACAAGCCCAACTAGTCATTGAAATGATTGAAGGACTGAGGGTTTAAAACTTACAAGATGATTTTAAGGGTTTTTTTGTGTGTTATTTTAGGGAGTTGTCCATTGTCAGAGTCAGGTCTAAATAAAATCAGTTTAAAGCAATGACTGTTTTTATCTTTAAAAAGTGGAACTTTCAGTGGTAGTATTGTTTAAAGGGCCATTTTCCCCAGTTTGTTGTCACACACAGAAGTTGCTATTCTCTATTTGCAGACAATGTTTGAGATCTGTTCTGAAAGTATAGAAATATGTCAGTATAGCAGAAGTATAAGACATTGGAAATGCAGTTCTTCAGATATTTTTTTCATTGATCAAGTGATTGCAAGGTACCATTGGGGCAGCTGAGGCTCAATTGGTAAAGTCGGTCGTCTCTCAACTGGAAGCTCAGGGGTTCGATCCCCAACTCCTGCTGCCACTTGTTTGATGATCCTGGGGAAGACACTTAACCCCACATTTCTCCTGCTGCTTTGTCTGCAAAGTGTAAATATGAATGGGATTAGTTACTCCTGATGGTCACTTTACATAGCAACCTCTGCCATCAGTGTGTGAATGGGTGGGGGTGACCTGTGGTGTAAAAGTGCTTTGAGTAGTCAGAAGACTGGAAAAGCCCTGTACAAGCTCAAGTCAATTTAGCATTTACCAATGTGATTACAAATACTCTTCAATTGAATCCAAGCAGTAACTCTGCTGTAACTCATCTTTTTTAAAGTGTCCTTGAGCAACCCTCACAGTACCTGCACAGACAATCCAGATGAGGGCATCAGCAAAGTGCCTAAAAGGTAAAATGAGTGTCAGAAGTTGATGAATATGGTATCATTAGGTATGCTTGACATGCCTCCTTTGTTTTCTGCTCTAATTGGCTCCCATTTATAATCCTCCATCTTTTGGCCCTCCTTTTTAAACACTTCCTTGTTTCCACCTTTACTTGGATCAGATCAGTGAATCTCACAGGTCATGTGGAGGGGAGAAGTCCTTGAATCTTTTTTGTTCTATTTAACTAACTGTTCACATGGACCCTGAAATACCCATGGTTTTGTTGGTATTTTAAAAAGGTTGCTCTGTCATTTTGAATCACTTGCCCCTGTGTGGATACTGAGTAGTCTGAAAAGAAAATCTGTTTTTTGAAAGCTCCAGTGATGTGTCACTTACCCAGGGAAAAGAGTATGAGAACAGAAGTTGAATTTCCAAAACTAGCTTAAAACATTACAATGTATTATTTTTATTATTGTTATTAATCATATTGTATTCGGGTATTTTAGGGTAATATCTCTTTTGAGGATCTTTATAATATGTTGTATTTTCTTATGAACTTTGAACACTAAGCACTGATGCTAATTATTCTGCTAATAGTTATTTATATGTGATTATTCATTGCAACATGACTTTCAGATACATCTACTCACTGGATGACTCTTAGCACATGTTCTTGTGTGTGTGCATGTGTGTATTCAGTTGCTTTAAAGTGAAGCTGAACACTATTAGCAGATGTAACTGTGTGCATGTCTGTGTATGTGTCTGTCTTCAGGTCAGCTGTCCATGCCTTCTGCTCCGGAGGGACCAGAAAATCCCCTGAGCCAGACATCTGAGGGCACTCATCTGCATAATAAGGTAACTGGCTACTCACACACACACACACACACACACACACACACACACACACACACACACACACACACAGCAGAGTGAATCAGTCACTGCATTCTGACTTCGAGCATTGGGTAACAGGTCAGTTCAGGGGGTCAAGAGCGGCATTTGATCTTCGACCTGAGAACAAAAACAGACTGAAGTAAGGGGCTGAGCGGCTACTGTGTTTGGTTAACACACTCAACAGCAGCAGGCAGGTTGGCTGTGTGAATTTTAATAAAATGTAATATATTCATTTTACACCCCTGATATTAAAACAGATACAAATTCTCCACTTTTAACTAAGTACCATAAATAAATAAATGAGCCATTATTATAATACAACTAAAATTATTATCCAATAGTTATTGATCAAATTCAAATATTAAGTTATTCATAAAGAAAAGCTGAGAGTGCATATATACACCTTTACTCTTTCCCCCCTTCCTACATTTCCTGATACAAATTGATCTGTGATTTATATTCCATACAACAGGCCATCAAACTCAAATATTTATTTGTAGTCGTATTCAGACACTCTCATTTTAATGTTTAATGTTAATGAAAATATAGAAACACTTAATTAGTTTGTTTAAAATTGTGTTTTAAATTGTACCATATACTAGATATAAATATAAAACTAATAAGAAACTATCATCAACAGTATTTTGTATGTTAGAACTGGTCTACCTTTGCTCCAGTTTTGTTATTTTTTTTATTTTTTTTACTTTTTTGCAAATCACAAATGTTACCCAAAATTTGTTTTACTAAAAGTATAAACACCTTCCAGGGCTCAGCAGAAGTCCCTTTCTCTCTCTCTCTCTCACACACACACACACACACACGCGCACACACACACAGCTCACCAATGCTTCACTGACTGCCTCGCTCCTGGAATAAACAGAAGCCTACAAATCTGAATAGACTCTCTTCCTATCCATATCCCCCTGGTGGCCAGCAGTAGAACAATATCACACACCACCACTTCCACAGATTTACAGTTTACTTCATTCTAAGCAAAGTTTCAAGTATTGTATCCCTAAAAGTTAAATTCAAATATCTTGTTAAAGTCAATAAACATAAATAATAAGTCTCTTTGCTGCACTAACTGTAAACATAGGTAAAGAACTATATATGGCTTATACTTGCTTTGACAATATATTGTTTACAGATAGTGTCTTAACCTGTTGTGGTATGTCCCTGCTGTTGTGGCTCAGTTTCACGCAACAGGTCAAGTACCTTCATTAAGGGAACATGGTGGGGTTATTTTTTTAATTTTATAGTAGCTGTTTTCAAATGTCCATACCATTGGTTTTAAAGTCAGGTTTTTTTTTCAATTGAGTGGGGATATTTTTAATGCCTTATGAAGAAGTTAAACATATGATTAATCATGATGTGTAAAATGTTGGAAAAGATACAAACCTGTTCATTGTTAGTGTTTTTTTTAGCCTGATCAAAATGGGATTTTATAATGAATAAACCACAATCCCAAATTTAAATGACTGCTTTAAATTCATTTTTTAACTTCTAAAATAGGCCGAGCTTAATATCATGACTGAAAATGAGGTAATATATTTACAATAAAAAAAAAATGTAATTTTCAGAACCCAAGATTAAAACCACTGCTCATGTATTCCTCCACTTTATTGATAACACAGGAAATTATAAAAGTGATATTTTATAACCCCATGAAGAAAATTGACCCAAGAATAAAGAACTCAAGGAATTATGAAACAAATTAGCATTTTTAGAATTATTGCTTTCGGACAAAGATGTTGATCAAGTAACCGTCTCAGCGTTCCACCGTCATTTTATCTCTGTTGCTTTCACCCTTTCTGAACTGCTACCATACAACACGTCCAACTGTCCTACCTCGATGTGATCGAAGCTGACATTACTCTCCACCCAGCTTTGTTTTTCTTCGCAGCCGTTGGGTGGTCCGTGTCTCTCGCTCCCTCTCTCTCTCTCTCTTTCTCTCTATCTCTCTCAGTCATTGTGAAGTTCACAGCGTCTGTTTCTCTTTGAGGGCTATGGGACCCAGGCACGGTCCGAAATTCAATACCAAAGTATACACAATTAAGTTCACACCAGAGGTTATTGGGTGGAAGTGTGGTCCCCTTCCAAAAAAATGTGTGAGTCAATCAAAGGATAAAAGGGTGTGAGTGTTTATGTGGGGCTGGTTAGTTGGTCAAGGTTAACTAAATGATGTGAGGGTGAGATGGTGTGTGTGTGTATCGGCACTAAGAGACTCGGGACTCTGTGCTGGTTTGCTGTAACATTTGAGATTTTGTTGTGACAGGTTATGTAGTCCAATAACAATCAAACAGAAGTTTAAAATGAATGTTTTTCTCCTGGAAGTGATGGGATTCTTTTGTGTGAGATATGGTGTCAGGCATTTTGTGCTCAATGCAACATTGATGTCGTTTTGCTTTTCACTTGCTGCAATGTGGTATACAGTTAAGAACCTTTTTAAAAAAAATCATATCAAACTACAAGAAGAACACTTTCTGAGTTGGCCAAGTAAAAGTAATGCAGCAAAAAAAAAACAACAACATTAAGTCTGCTCATACAGACCCCAGATACTTTGAGAGAAAGTTTGTGGACATCTTAATGCAGACATTTTGGGGTAAAAAACATATGTGGATGCAGGTAAAGTTATAAAGATATCCATGAATAATTTGTCCAATCTAATCTGATTTGGAACTGAAATCATTTTTTTAAATACTAATATTTATTTTAGCTTCTTTCTTTTTTCCAATCAAAATTAGTAACATTTTTTTAGTTGAACCTTTTTTCTTCTTCTTCTTCTTTTTCTCCAAATCTACATGCTATTTTTGCCTGTAGCACAGAACACTATTCCTGGTTTTGCCCTTCTCAACTCACCCCAGTTGACCCTCCCAGTCTGTTGAGTGTTTCAGTGTTGGATCAGTTAGCCATAGCTCCCTCTGTGTACCTTTCACACGCGATTGGGAGCCTCATGACAGGCCAGCTGGAACCTTCAGTCCACCCCATACACTCAAATCCTCCGTGGAGACCCTACTGGCCAGCCAGCCTGCCAATAGGAGGGTTATGAATGTGTGTGTGTGTGTGTGTGTTTCCCTGCATGTGTGTTGTTGGGGCTTCCTGTTTTGGCTGTGTGCTTCAGTCCTTCCTGGAAGGGGGGCAGCCTGTGTCATTTCTGTCAGCTATGGGACTAGACAGACAAATTAAACATATACTAAACTTATAGGATTTTGCAGCTGCTATTTGAAACCCTCTAATCATTTTCAAAAACATTTTTTCTTATTGTATTTCGTCCAGTTTGGGAATATTTTAACAGCTAAGGCTAGATCAGGGACCTACAAGTTATCCTTAGGAATCAAGATTTCTGAAGGTTATTCTGGATAAGAAAGGAGCTCTGTATTTATTTAAAGAAGAAAAAAGAAAACAACTACTATTCTCTATTTTTTCAGACTATAGATTGAAATTACTTTATACTATACTAGAACATGTGCATTAACATTTGCACATAATAGATACAGTATTTTAACCACACATACACACAAAATACATTCACTTTCACCTCTTCATGAGAAGTGGGTATGTCTTGGGGGAAGCACCAGTCATGCTCCATTAATCCAAAGCAACCAGTGGTGATTGATCAATTAGCCCTGCTTAAAGCTGGGGCTCACACTGATCAATAGCACTGATCACCAGCCAATGTTTTTTCATTAAGATCTGCTGCTCTGCATGAGTAGACTCCATTAGCATAGACCAAATGAGCTGTGAGGATTGCAAATGCTTGAATGAAAAAAACACTCATTAGAACGTACATTTGCCCTCTGACTAGTGTTCATCGTTTGTATCATTTTCAAAGTGTTTGAGAGCACACACATTAGTTTTGCCTTCCAAGCTTCATTCATTTAGGGTCCTAACAAATCTAATATATCTATTTCATTTGTAGAAAGAACTGGGTATAACTTGCAAAGTAGTCAAAAATCTCATTTAGCAAAGTCACCCCACAGTGTTAACAACTCTCCAACATATTATATATTGTTTCTTTTTCTATTTTTTATCTGTTTATATAGGTTTTTTCCTCACCTGCTTCATGTTGCAAAATAAATAGATTCACTATTTTGTTTTGCTGATTAGGTCTAAAGCCATTCCGCAAGTAACTAAAGGAAGTCGATTACTAAAAGGTCTAATTTGCCTTGAAGGTTCATTTAAATCTGGACAACAAAACAGTGCACTGTGTTTCGCACGGATGGTTATTTACTGTGGCACAATGCACTAGCTGTCGTTGTAACGTAGATGCAAGGCACGGTCTAAAAAAATAAATAAAACAGGACACGACAGAAAACGTCCAAAGTGTGGGATCACTAAACATGGTGCAGTGTGTCTTTTGCATAAACGGAATTGGCCTACGTCTGACCGTGCAATGGTCTAAAAAACTGTTTACCTTACTAGTTCATGAGAGAAAACCCCTCTACAATCAGTGTCTGAGTGTAATGAGTGCGCTCACAGGAGTGACAGCAGTGAAGCTGGTGGTGGTGGCTGCCTTCAGCTATGACTCACGCGCACTGCACTTATGAAATGTTGATGCTGTAGCAGTAGGCCCTAATTAACAAGATGACAAAATACCAGTATCACAGGAAAACAAGGTAAAATGTGTTACTGTTTTTTATTTTTAATGCAGCATTTTAACAGGGCCGAGCTTGCCAGAGGAACGTCCAAATCAGCTGAACCCAGAGTATTTTGATCGCGTGTTTCTAGGTCTGCAGGCCAGTTATAATGTTGAGTCCTTGTTAAAGCATTTTCTAAATAAGAATGCTGGAAAACCAATGTCCTGAAATAAACTACTTTATAGATGTATTTCCTCCAAAAGTCCTCATGGTACCTTAATGAGCATGTCAGTTGTTTTTATCACATTCATTGTCAGCTATTTATTCTCCTACCTGAACAACAGCGGACGTTGCTGCATCACAGTGATATTTCTGATCCACGAC